GGAAAGACACACTACGAATCATATGCTATCACTCATTCAGGAAAACATTTCTTTGTTACCTACTATATACAAGACTTGGGATCAGGAGCTGAGCATTCCTAACGCCTACACACAAAGAGATCATAGCCCAATACGGGACATAACATAGTGACTGACACTTACCAAGTGTTTCCATATGCCAAGCAATCTACTTACATTACCTTATTTAATTGTATTTAATCCTCACAGCAATTCTGTGATCATCCTCAGTGAACAAATGAGAAAGTTGGGGGTGCAGAGAAGTTGAGTGACACCTTTAGTTAATGATGAAGTCAGGTAACTTAAAGAAACAATTTGTTATTTTCTCTCATAGGGTTCTGGGGGTTGATGGGCTCAGCTGGCTGGTTCTCACTTGAGGTCCTTTATTCAGCCGCAGTCAGATAGTTGGTAAGGCTGAGTAGACATGTCTGGAGCAGGGGCTGGGATGTCTACAACAGCCAAGGTCTGGTCAGGCATCTCTGTCCACATGGCCTCTCTGTGTGGCTAGCTTGGGCTTCCTCCCAGCCTAGCAGTCAGAGTCATTGGACATCTTAGATGGCAGTTGACCAGGCAGGAACTGCAAAACTTCTTATGATCTTGCTTCTAAAAGCATGTGGCTTTACAATAGCCAGGACATGGAAGCAACCTAAGTATCCATAGACAGATGAATGGATAAAGAAAATGTGTCACATATATACAATGGAATATTACTTAACCATAAAAAGAAACGAAATTGAGTTATTTGTAGTGAGATGGATGGACCTAGAGTCTGTCATACAGAGTGAAGTAAGTTAGAAAGAGAAAAACAAATACCATACGCTAACACATATATTTGGAATCTAAAAAAAAAAAAAAAATTGGTCATGAAGAACCTAGGGGCAAGATGGGAATAAAGATGCAGACCTACTTGAGAATGGACTTGAGGACACGGGGAGGGGGAAGGGTAAGCTGGGACGAAGTGAGAGAGTGGCATGGACTTATATACACTACCAAATATAAAATAGATAGCTAGTGGGAAGCAGCTGTATAGCACAGGGAGATCAGCTGGGTGCTTTGTGACCACCTAGAGGGGTGGGATAGGGAGGGTGGGAGGGAGATGCAAGAGGGAGGGGATATGGGGATATATGTATATGTGTAGCTGATTCACTCTTGTTATACAGCAGAAACTAACACACCATTGTAAAGCAATCATATTCCAATAAAGGTGTTAAAAGTTAATAAAGAAATAATTAAAAAATAAAAGCCTGTGGCATCATTTCCACCATGTTCTGTTGGTCAGTTACAGTTCAGCTCAGATTCAAGGAGGTAGAGGAATGGGCTCTATGTCTCAATGTGGGGAAGAGCTTAAAGTACATGGAGGTAATCAATCAATGAAGACCATCTTGGAGACAAGTCACCACACCAGGATTTGACCCTCAGCAGCCTGACTCGAACCTTTGTGTGCTCAACCATTATGCTCTACTGACCACCACGTAGTACAGACACAGCCACATTGTGCTCCTGGTGGCTCATGTAAGATATAGTGGTGGACAAAGAAAGAGGTGATTAGCTTGTCTCAGTAGGTCAGGCAGGGCTCCCAGCAGGAAACACCACACACACACATACACACACCCCTCCCCTTAGTGTGGAGGACAGATTGTGACTGCATTGGGTAGCATTCCATACAATCCCTGCATTACATGAGGTGACCTAAAAGCTGAGGACAAGAGACAGCTCTGAGGCAGCCTGTGGAAAGCCGCTGACGTGGAAATAGGGAGCCGTGATGTCCTGTCCCAACTCTGCCACAATGTAGGTCTGGGACCCTGAGAGGAAGCAGAAGTAAAGAACTAGGGATCCCAGGTCTTTCCAGAACCTCGCTGAGTAGAATTTCTGAGCATGTTGTGCCCCCTCTCCATCCCCAGATTGGAGACCCTCGCTTGGTGATCTGTATGGACTGCTCGGCAGACACCATGACCGACCGCCTTCTCCAGAGGAGCGGGGGCAGCCCGCGCACGGACGACAGAACCGCTATCACCAAGCGCCTTGAGACCTACTACCGGGCCTCCATCCCCATGGTCGCCTACTATGAGATGAAAACACAGCTACATAAGGTGAGTCACCTCACAGTCCCCCAAAATGAACCAGCCACCCACTTTTTATTCAAAAAAAGAGAAAAAAATAGGAAATTTCGGTTAAGGGATCTTGGAATTAGAACTGCATATAGCTGCACAATTTGGGCCAAAATACAGGTCCCTTACTCTCTTTTTTTTTTTTTTTTGCGGTATGTGGGCCTCTCACTGCCGTGGCCTCTCCCATTGTGGAGCACAGGCTCCGGACGCGCAGGCTCAGTGGCCATGGCTCACGGGCCCAGCTGCTCCGCGGCACGTGGGATCTTCCCGGACCGGGGCATGAACCCATGTCCCCTGCATCGGTAGGCGGACTCTCAACCACTGCGCCACCAGGGAAGCCCTCTCTTCACTTTTGTATGTCATCATATGGACCATGAAAAGCTGGCTATACAATGTTCATAGATGCCATGATAGTTGCTGGAAACCGGTCCTATTTCCAAGAAAGAGGGAGAGAGGGAAGGAGGGAGGAAGGAGGAGGAAGGGGAGGGGGAGGAGGGAGGGGGAGGGGCGGGGGAGAGAGGGAGGGAGGGAGGCATGGATGAGGCATAAGTTCTGCCTCCCAGACCTCAGCTGCACAGGAGGATCCAGAAGGTCTCGTCTGGATCTAAAATTCAACAACTTTGCATTTCTAGAATTTTGCCTAGTTCATAATTGGCCCTTGGCTGCCTCAGTTTCTTGCAATGACTAGTGTTATTGGGAGAAGCAGCATATGGGGCCAGGAGAGCAGATGAGGTGAAACGATAAGGAAATGGGTGGTGTCAACTCAATGATCACGAGCGCTAATCCATGCTGAGTCCCTGTTAAGTTCACGAATTTGGGAAAACTACCCAATCCCCATTCATTCACTCATTTAATAACTATGTATCAAGCACCTCCTATGGACCATCCACTGCCCTGGTGGTTTGGATGCAAGTGATAAGATGCGGTTCTTGCCTGCTAGAGCCTTGGGTTTAGTAGGGGAGAGAGACACACCTGGGATCAAAATATGGGGTCAAAACGAGCACAGAGTCAGTTCCAAGGGCCCTTTAACCTGGTCTGAGGGGAGACAGAAGGCACTGAGGAAGCTCACCAGAGGAGAACTAAGCTGAGCCCAAGGTGCGGGTGCCATACGGGGAGCAGAGCACCTCACACAGAACCTCACACAGAAGGAGCTTGGCTGTGACATATTATAGTGCCAAGGAAACGAGCGACAAGAGGTGGAGGTGGAGAGGCAAGCAAGGACCAGATCAAGATGAACCTATCATAGGAGCCAATAATTATCCTGAGGATGATGACGGGAACTACCAAAGGGGACAGACATAGTCAGGGCTTCCATTTAGAAAGCTCCCTCCATCAGCCTTGTGGAGAATGGGTCCCAAGAAGGTCAGGCCAGGAGACCACTGGGAGGCTGGGGAGTATCCAGGAACCAAACCCCGAGGACCCAACGCAGAGGAGAGAGAGTGAACAGCTACTATCTGCTTTTCCCAGGAAGTTACAAGGAGACATGAGTCAATCAATAACAAACTTGTCTCGGAGACAGCTACATGATCCATTCCTTGGGGGAAACCACTGATAATGAATTCTTATCTTCTGAGCCTGTTAATGGTCCATTTTCCAGGCTCCTACGAACTTAGCCCTGTGTCGAATCTGAAAGGTGCTCCATGATTTAACTCAGAGATGTCATGTATGTGACATGAGAGCTATCTATCATCCCCGCCTTCTGCACCCACAGCAGACACTGTTACGGCATCGTGGCGCTTTCCTCAAGACCCAGACGTGGCCTCGTGATGTTGTTAGCACAGCACGCCAGGCAGCTCCTTCCAACTGCTAGAACTTGATGAGCAAGACGAATCCTATTTGCTGTGCTTCATGTAACCTCCGGTTGCTACATAAAACAAAGACCTAGATCTTTAGAAACAAGCAAACAAAAAGTGCACTATGTAAGAGCAGGGTCTTAAGAATTCAGGTGGCAGAGGCCTTTCCAGGATCGGTGATTTCCACCCTTCGTGCCGCCTAGAACACACGTGGAAATTACCTTCCACTTTCAAGATTTGCAGAGGTGAGAAAAGTCCCTAAGTAATTCAGAGTCAGAAAAGCCCTTTTACCTCTCTCCTGTATTATTCCAACCTAAATTCTACACACTCATAAATGATTGGCACGTGCATGCGGGGGTAAGCGAGTTCTCAGATAAAGCTGATTTCTGGAATCCTCCTTAGAAATTTAATATCTAAGTTAATGGGAAAGGGAGTTTCCCGTCCCACGCGGCTCATCTCTGCAGCTCCCCCCAGCATTTTGGAGATGCTGTTGGGTCTGTGGTGAGGTAACATGTATGATCCACTTGGCAAATTTTCTTTGTTTTTTTTTTTTTTTATTTTTATTTTTTTTATCGGTACGCGGTCCTCTCACTGTTGTGGCCTCTCCTGTTGCGGAGCACAGGCTCCGGACGCGCAGGCCCAGCGGCCATGGCTCACGGGCCCAGCCGCTCCGCGGCATGTGGGATCTTCCCGGACCGGGGCACGAACCCATGTCCC